GTTGTAGAAGGAAAGATGGTTGATTAGTAATGATTTTGTTAATTTATATTGGAAAATGGATTTTGAAAAAGGAATGTTGATAAGGTAGCGAAAATCATCAATGGAATAAGAAAGTAGAATTATAGCAACACTTTTTTTTTGAGACGTTTACGTGTAATGGTGTGATTGGATTAAAAATTGATTCCACGAAATTTGCTTATAAAATGAGTGTAGGTAAAAGTGAAGGAGATGGAGGAAAATGTGAGGGTGAGATATTTACAATTTATGTTTGAAATTCAAGAGTTTTCTTTTTAAAGGAGCGTTGTTATAATTAGTTGGTTTGTGGAATTGAATGTTTTTTATAGAAGGAACAATGGTGAAAAGGGCATTACACTGGCTGAGGTGAGTTGGTATTTGTGAATGTAGTTGTGATGAAGACATGGGGAAACTTTCTATAAGTGTTGGCTACATATTGTTTTTAGTTGGTAGCAGGCGTACATTTTTAAAATAACAAAAACTTGAATTTTTTTCTTTAAATGATAATTTTGAGTTATAGAAGGTTTTATTTTGAAAATGACATTATTCAAAATGAATATGTAAAAAGGGGTTTAAAGTCTAAATGTTGGTTGAGAACACAATAGTTGAAAATATTAAGGGGGTAAAATTATTATGAAAAATGTGTAAAATGAAGTGTTTTTTTTTTTTTTTTTATCTTGAAATGAAATTATAGTTTTCATGATATGAAGATTTAAAAGTAAATAAAAGCTGAAACGGTTAAATTACTATAGGTTAACTGGCATATAATGAAGCATTATAGGCGATTGATAGAATTTAGTAGGATGGGTATAAAATTGAATTGAGGAAACTTTGATTAAAATATAAGCAAAGAAAAAAATGATGGTTATAAATTAAATGCGATATGATTATCTAATTGCAGGGGCTAAACGTAACATAAAATAAACGAAATAAAAATCTACTTAACAAACAATTGGATATTTAAGTTCTAAATGAGTTGTACTTACAGTACAAAAGTGTCAATTGTAGTGTAGTTTGAAGTTTGCACTGGTTGATGTAGCCATGGTCACGTTCTTGGTGATGGTTGTAGTAGGCGTGAGGGAGGAGAAGTTCTCGTCGTCAGGTGGATTGTGGATGTTTGCAGTGAGCACATTGGATTTGTAATGGCGAGTAGTATGCAAGTTTTGTGGCAATTGAAGATTGGCTATCTACCTAAGGCTTGGAAGCGGCGATGTCTTGGATGGTTTCCGCGAGTTGTGCTACGATGTCCGTGGCTGTGGGTGGCATGGTGGTGATCTTCGGCGTTGCTCTGTTCTCCAGGCTCCATCCTCTTTGCGTTGTCCTCGGTATATCCTGTCGACTTTCTGTAGTGATGTACAGTTGTTGTATCTGTTGGATGAATGTAGTGTGGCATGTTGGTTTGCAGTCGTGGTGGCCACAATGATTAGTGGTTTCAGGCGTGGAATTGAGATTACACAAAAGGACGAGGCATATTAGATGTCACCACGGAGATGGCGAAAGAGTGAGTCCAGCCGACACCAGTCTAGGGGAGAACTGTCTAGAGACGTCTGCAAGTCTCGTCCCCAAGCCGACTAAAGGGGCTGTGTGGGGACCGACTGGAATGCCGCCGTCGAGACCAGAATGCAGACGGTCGTAAATTACCCGGAAGCTAGAGGGGCCCCAGATGTACATTCCTGGGGTGGTGTCCCTTTTTGGTCTTCCCATATGAATGTAGTTATCAAAAATCTTCAATAAAACACTAACTTTGAGAGACTTTCTGAGCAGGGCACAGGGCATACCCGACTTGTTTTTCGGACCTCTTTACTTCTTCTGGCATCGGCTGTCACTCACTCGAAATTTTATTTGTCACACTTTGGCAATTACATTATACAATACATGGAGACATAGATGTATTGGGATATATTACAACATCTATATATATATAAATCAATGTTTGTATGTTTGTTTGTATGTCCGTATACAAATTCGCAGTAGTTCACTATTTCAAACCAAAATTTCCATACATAGGTAGAAAAATACGGGGAAGACGATAGGCTATTTTAAAAAATATATAAATCCATTATTAAAACTATATATTAAATTATCTACTCAGCTCACGAACAGCGCCCTCTATCAAAGATTAGATTAAATTATGCTGATGCAAACAAAAAAAGATAATGCGCTAATAACAAACAAATATAAATATATATCACTCTGGTATCACACTATGTAAAGAAATAAATTAGATATCCTCACTGGTCTTTGCCTTTTTCGCTACATTTTTCTTGCTTTCACCTGTAGGCCGTTTAGAAAAAAACATGTCCAAGGAGGTTTGTTTCTTCCTCCCTCTCAGAATGTTCCGGCACAGAACATATCATGGACGTACTACGGCCATACTGCCTCGACAAGTCAACAATTCGAACACCTTGCTCATGTTTTTCTATAATTTCACATTTTAATTCAATACTCATCATCTTTTTTTAGACATTTTACTGTATTTGAGCTTGCATATACTAGCCACTCTCGCTAAGTATACACACTGATAAGGAAGATATCTAAGTAATAGGCATATACAGTTACCTGTCTATTGACAGGTCACTTTTAATGTAAATCGCATCATACTATGTATTTAATATCGGGCGATATATAGAGGGAGGCGCTATTTAGAGGGGGTGCTATAAACAGGTTTAACTATTTTTTAGGCTAACTTTGGTGGTGGAGTGATTAAGATAACTAACACCTCATTTTTTTTTTGCTTATCCCTAGTACACGTGGTACAGGCCATCATGGTAGGTAGTTAGTGACTGCTTTTACTGTAAGCGCACCACTATCTACACATGTGAAAAGCAGTTCGACTTTGCACTTACAAATGTGCCAGAGCCCCATTTGGTTACTTGCACTCGCTGGTGGGGTACTAACACCTCATGACAACCTGCAATTGAATCCTACATTGAGCATTTTTTTCTGCTTCAGTGGCCCCTATGTTTCTATATGTTTATTATTTAAGTTTTAAAAAGCTTGTTTTTTTCACATAGTTTATAAATTAAGAAAAAGACATCTCCTTATCGTGCAACTGAAAGTTGCTGATGGCTTGCGCCATCTATTGGAATAAATATCACATATTCTCGTTGATTTTTAATTATTCCAGAATTGGCCAAATACCCATTCTTGTTTAATCAAGTAAAGCTAACCACGGACGCGTTTCGGGCTGTAAGGAGATGCCTTTTTCTTAATTTATGCACCTTTTCCCAGCACAATATTACATTTGTACTATTTTTTCATAGTTAATATAGTTGAACACAAGTCATTTTCTTTCAGAATACTCAAACATATTTATGCACATTTGAACACAAGTTGCTATAAACTTGACATAACCATCACATGGTTTTCTTGAAATTTCACATTTTAACAACTTCAAGACAAATCACACAAAGGGAGAGAGGGTTAAAGAATCAAAATTATTTTTAAAAAATTAAAAATTTTATTGCCTTGTTCCTTTCAAGGGGGAAGCAATCTACAACACAACAGGAACCTTGTAGATAGGGACGGTAGAGGGGGGGTGATATATAAGACAATATAATACAACAATCAGAACAATGAGAAAAGGTTAACTCATGAAAATCCTAGACAAGTCTAGATTTCTCAGTATTAGCATGGCAAGTCATCATAGTTGACAAAACTTGACTTGTTGCGAAGGGAGGGGGTACTGACCTTGTATCTCACTGGAACACAACACTTACTGTCAAAACAATGCGGAGAACCAACACTAACAATTAATTTAGAAATTTTATCAGAGAATAAAGCTTATAGAATCATAGCATTTCATACGAGGTGTCAGATAGGTTTTTCATCATTGGAAAATGGCAAAAATATGAATATTTACATTATATGTATATGTAAATATACATTATATGTATATGTAAATATACAATATATGCATATGTAAATATACATTATGTAAATTTTTTGGAATAAATAAAAAAGAAACTTACTTTAAATGGATGATGAGCTTTGGATGATACGCGGTCAGAGCCAACTGATGGGATTATAACTGAAACAAGATTTTGTTAAACATTTGAAAAAAATTTCAGAATAAAGTTAAAAATTATGAGTAGCTTCAGTAATTAAAAGTTTTCTACATAAAGTAGTGTTCAGATGAACTATGCAAGCATCATTTTGACAAATTTTGTACACAATGAAATATTTTTAAATAATCTTACTTTTTTTGTTTTCTAGAAGTTTCGGTTCCTCTTCAAATTGGAGAAAAGTCGCACCATCTGAACAAAAGAATAAGTCAACTTAAAATATATACAATGATATATATCACTAAACAATAATACAAATCATCACTAACATTATAAAGAGTATATTCTTTTATTAAAAGTTTGGGTGAGTCAGCAACATTTGGCCCAATCTGAGCTTCTATTTGGTTGTGACATCAGTGTGATTTAACAATTTTGAAAACGTGATAAAAAAAATAGTCGCTAAAAGAAAATATTAACAGCCAAAAACAGCTGATTTCAAGGATATCATCAAGATATACCCTGAGTAGTTATTTTGCCTATATCAACATACTTTTGAATAACCTTTTTTATATATATATAAGAGATGTTCCAAGGAACGGTGGTCCTGGAAGAAGAATCAGTTCCAGGGTGTATAAGTCCTTGGTCATTTACTTTGTGAAGTCAACAGTACGGCCCATTTATAGGATTAATGGGTCGTCACTCTTTTTGCTTCACTATTCACTAGTCACCATAGCAAAAAAAAAGTGGAATATAAAATATTTACCTGGGTATCACTTTATCTTGATGATGGCTAACTGAATCCCACGAAACACAATCCTCCTAAAACATAAAACTCCAATCTAAGTACAGAGATTTACATACAACAGTATATATATATACATATAGTATTGTGGTCAGACAAATGCCTCAAGTCAGCAGGTATGGACAACTCCGTCCATCCCTACATAGAACATGGAGGAAATGTGCAAAGTTGGCCATTCAGACTCGTCATCTTTATCATCATACAATCTCGCCTATCATACATAACTAAAATTATATGCAGACAATATGCAAGTTAAATTGATTTGCATCTTCTAACAAAGTCAGATTGAGCAAAAGGTATCTCCCGATTATCCTCAAATAAGTTTGCTAATGGCTTGTACTATTTGGCTTATAAATAAAGCCAGGTACTAGGTATTAACTTTAGGATATAATATATATAAAGAGCAGGTTTGTATTTCTAAATTATGAAGTTTGCTTTAGATAATGCTTACATTTGTTTAGAATTGAGATTCTTCATCCAGACAAGGTCTCTTGGAATCCATTCCTGTAACAAATACTTTATGGTTAGATAAGTTTTACTTAAAACAAATTTTATCTTTTAAAAAATAAAATCAGAATAAATTTTCTCATCAAAAAGGTTATGTCCGCCAGTCGCTAATTGTTTTGTTTTTTCATCACAAACTTTAAAATGGAAGAAAAAATAAACAAAAAATTGAACCTACCTGATTTACTGTGTCATTTTCACAACGATTCAATCCCCAATTCATATCTGTTACAAACAGAATGGTTAGAAGAGTATTAATTACATATCTGTGGTACACATATGCAGATAAGTAACTTCAGAATATTGGATTATTGTCAGCAATTGCCTTCAGTAGCAGAACTGGATGAAACATCATTTTGTGGGTATTATAGCTTTTTATATACCAAACACTAACATTAAATAATTGACATTTACCTTTAAACTAATTCCTTTTGGATTCATCTTGCCTGTTGCCAACAGCATAATCTCTTTCCACAACCTGTAAAAAAATATATACATTATAATTTTTTTAAATGGTGTTTTTAAAAAACAGGTTTTTCTATGGTAATCTTCAGTATTGATAAATTATCTTTCATGTCTTCAGAAGCAGAACTGGAATTGTATTTCATCATATCCTTCTCCTTCATACATGTTTATATACTGGAGAACAAGAGAAAATCTCACCATTTAGGAAAAATTGTTTCAACTCCACATTCAGATTCCATCAACTCCATTATCTGAAACAAGATGACTTTGTTAGATAATGTTGGATTTTAGTTAATAAAAGGTCATTTTTGACAAATAGGCCTCAGATTTTAATAGCTTCATCAAATCTCAGAAGCAGAACTGACATTTTTTTGTTTTTCATCATTAAAGGTAGGAGGTTGTTGGGAGACGACTGACTCCCTTTTCAAATTGGCCACTGCAAATAGGTTTTTTTTTTTTAAAACTATTTTAGCATCCCATCGGGTGACCCCTCAACATTTGGCCCAATATGAAACTAGGCCTCTCATTGGTTGTGACGTCAGTGACACCCTATCTAAATTAAAGCTGTGATTGATATTTTAGCAACATATTTTTTCTATATATTTTATTTTTACAATTAATAATGCATACCTAAGGATACAAATATATTTTATTTTAAATAATACAAATTTATGCATACTCATTTAATTTATATTAAATAATACAAATCTATGCATACAAATGTTATATTTTACAAATACCAGATACATATAAATAAAAGATATATTTTTTAAAAATTATTATCCAGTGGGCCGTATTTTCATTTATTCTTTTCAACAAAAAAAAAGTTTATTCAAAGAGTTAATATAGACAAAATAACTACTCACCTAACAAGTATATCTTGATTATATCCTTGAAAAATTGTTTAATCAGCAGTTGTTGGCTGTTTCTATTCTCTTTTGGATTCACATAATTCAAACTTCGCCACCATACTCCGAAAGATAAAATTCAAGAGAATCTTTAACTTTCCTTTTCCCCAAGTGTAATTTTTTGGCTGCCCCCAAGGTGGCCTCGAAATTATTGGTATGTACTCCCGTTTCTGGATCCTTAAAATGTAATTTATGGTTAACAAGGTGGTCGAAACTTTCCAGCCTGTAGTAGGATCAAAACCCATCCGAAACAATGGTGGTGCCAGGCAGAACATATTTTTTGATAGACGCGATGAGAGTATGCGACTTACGGTCAGTGACAACCTCAAAGAAAAAATCTTTAGTTTCAAAGTCGACACTGCCATGTGCAGCCCTGTGCTCCTAACACAAACACTGCTCATCCTGTATCCCTGTATTAGGAGCCCTTACAGGGTACTATCAGCCGGGCCAGCTGAACCCAGGTTTTTTATTGATGTTACTGCTCCCTCTCCTTTTTCATCCGGGCTTGGGACCGGCAAAGGCGGAGTTCAAAGAAAAGACAACCTCAAAGAAAAAACCCAATATCCAATAGCAGTTTTGGCACAATGATTTCTAGTTTTCTTATTATGGCCAAACAGACTAGTCTATCTGTACCTGTTTACCAACACCAATTTTTGGAGGGTCATCCAGATAAAGAAGGTAACAAACCTCCCTGCAGAAGTTAACCCAGTGAGTTACTGTGTCATCTGATACCCCAGACTGCTCTGAAATGGTCTTTATTTCAGTCTTTACCACCTACAGTGCAGTCATTGTTATAATTTTGTGTAGTTTCAATCTGGATTGCTCAAAGTTCACTTTCGGAAACTTGTTCGAACACTATGCACCCCAATTTTTTTAGATGTACTTCTACATCTCCATATTACACCATCTGTGTTTTTATAGGATTTCAGTTCCATTTTTCTGCCACATTCCGGGCATGTCCTTTCACCTGCCAAGACACACGTTCAGAATATAAACTTTTGTCACTATCATTGAATATATATAATACACTAGAATAAATGGCAATATAAAATAGATTGAGTCATAACAGTTATAGTAATAAACAAATAAATCATTAAGCAAAAGATGCTTTATGAGGTCAGCACAACTATGCAACTACAAAGAACTACTTAGCAAAGAAAGATATAATGTAAAAGATGATTATTATTTATGTATATATTTATTTATGATTTAATGTGAAAGATGAGAGAATTAGCGTTATAATGCAAATGCTTTATTTTAAAATTAAACTTTACGTAAAAAAAAAATTTCAATTGTGTGTGAATGACATGAAAAAAAAAAGGGCAAAAGAAAATTCCTAAAATTGAAATTTACAATGTTTTTTTTTTACGTTGCTCAATTTTTAATGTATAGCAAATATGAAGTAGCATTAAAATAGTACCAATTTTTATCAATAGATGGCAGTAATTTGATATTTTAAAAATAGATTAAGGACCCAAGCACCACATTGTAAATTATGGGGTAAAGGATTGATATTCCCAAATACTAAAAAAGGACCTACTGTAAAACCCACATTGACCCAATTTGTATCATTTATTTAAAATAATTAGTTTTGACCACATTGAAAGCTTTGTAGCCTCCCATATTATTTTAAATTTGTGAAATTATTGAAAACTTACCTTATTAAATATCTACATGTTACAGCATTTTCATTGGATCAATCTTGGAAAATATTCCTGAAAGAAAATTAACTTATTAGAATAAAATTTGTAAAAGTAAATATAAAAAAAATTATAGCATTTTGATTCAGTGGTTCCTTAGGGATCGTCAAGAAGCTATCAGACGATTTTAAAACTTGCATCATAGCAAAAAAGAAAAAAAAAAAAAAGGAAAATATATTTTGTAGAGCAAACTTACCATTTTGGATATTTTTCATTCTTTCTTCTAGTCACATTTTGTGAAAATCCTGAAAGCATCGATAAAAATTAGTGCAAAAAATTTACAAAGAAATAAAAATGTATATAAGAGAATAATCTCAGATTCTATTATAAATTTATCTTCAAAAAACTCAGACAAGAGGTGTCAAAAGAAAATCATCACAAAAAAATTAGCTGTAAAATTAATCTAAATAAAATTTAGAACTTACCTTTATTATACATAGGGATGGCAATTGATGGCAATTTGAAGCTGCCTGCAAAAAAATAAACCAATTTAATTTCCAAAATATTTTAAAATAGTCAATTAGATAGAATTAGTAATTCAATTAAAAGTATTCAATTAGATAAAAGTCTGATTAGTTAAAACGTGTTTTAAGTACACGTGTTTTATTTTTGAAAATTTTTCTATCTCATTTTTTAGCAGTGTTTAATTTAATACGTTATAATATATTATTGTAATTTTTAAAACTTACCTTAAATTGGAAGTCAGCCGGGTCATCACGTTACCAAGATTTTCCTTCTAAAACATACACATGCTAAGTGTTAAATCTTGAACGTGTAAAAATTAAAAGTAAAAAATATTTTATTTTTTAAAGCATCAGACAGCCAAGGGTATCCTCATTATTATAGGACAAGTTGCGAAACCTTAGGTTTTATCATCATAGTAATCTAAATTAATCAAGGTTTTATAAAATTGTATAAAAAATATTTTATACCATTTGTAAAAACCATATCATATAAAATAGGTTTGAATAAATATTTTTGCTTTAAAAAAAAAATAATACATGAAATACTAACCACTTGAAGGGAAAAACAGGTAGGATCTAGACAGGGCTATTGTAAAATAAACTAAGTAATGTACCGGGTGGGTAAGAAGAGTATATTTCCTTTCGAAAAAAGATTCCTAAATAAACACAGAGTGATCTTATAATTATTTGAATAAATTTAAATAAAATAAATTTATTATTATTTTTTAATGTATATTATATATTTTTATTTTATTTATAATTTGAATACCCATATTTTTGAATGGATATCATATATTTATTCTAAAGACCAAATAACTAAAAAGGCATTGGAATCTAATATTGCTATTTTTTTTTTCACAAATTGTACTTATAGAGTTATCAACAGACAACACACATTCATTCTAGAAATATTTATCTTTATGTATTTACATTATAAATAAATATTTTAATCAAATATTTTCTACGACAAACACAATATAAGTAAAGTAATTGTAATGTAACTTTTTTTTATATTTAGCTTTCACACAAATTATAAAAGATAATTATGAATAATTTACCACCGCCTTCTGCGTTTACAATAGATCAAAATGATCCTAATAAATGGCCAAAATGGCGTAAAAAATTCGAAAACTACATCATAGCAAGTGATCTTAATTCAAAAACTATACAACAACAAAGGGCTATTCTATTACACATTATTGGCGATTCAG